CTATGACTGCTAAGTTTGTGCTAAGATCTACTTCTGTTGTAGCTATAGCTGCTTGTTGATGGTTATCCCATCTGTCATCATATATGTATACTAGTGCTTTGGTTCCTACTTGTGTGCTCTAGTGAGTCCAGCTATTCCTATCATAATTGTTCCTATATGGATTTGTTGATAGTGTGATTTTTTAAGGTGTTCTATTGCTGTGTTACTAAGTAAATTAAGAGTTACTTCTTTATCTATACAACTTACTTCATGTTGACTGATACTACTTACAATACGATGCCTATTTTCAAATCTTCCTAATTGATATAAATTATATTTATTTTTCTGTGATTTTTCAAAGCCTTTTCTAAGAAATTCTTGTGCTTCTTGTTCACTAGGGTATATATCTTCTGTTCTAACTATTTCTTTTCCTTTTCTTCTAAAGAGTTCCATTTACTATTATCAAATGGATTTATTCTACTTTTTCTTCTATGAGGATTATTTCCTAAAGTTAAATTTTCTAATTTATCAACTAAGTCTTTGGGTAGTATAGAAGTGGTATTGTGTACTACTTGATTAATTTCTGTTATTTGTTCTTCTAATTGATCTACTTTTTCGGCTAAATTTAAAATTAATTGGATAATTAAATTATTTTGTCTAATAGGGATATTACTACTTACTACAGATGTTGTAAATTCTGTGAGACCTACTGGTTCCTTATCTAGTTGACCAACTTCTTCTAATGCCTTTATATATTTATTATTAATTTTAGAATATGTCATCAAACTAAAAGTCTATCTATTTTACTATGTAAATTTTCTACTTGTTCAGTTAATGTTTTTTGTACTAACTGTATTTTTTGCACTTCTAATTTTAACTGCTCAATAATTTCTAATGACTGGAGTTCTATTTGTTTTGGCTTACTATCTATAAGATCTATGAGGTCTTTTATTTCTTTCTTACTAGGGAATCTTTGGATATTCCTATTATTATCTTCTAATTTGGATGTTATATAGTCTAAGTTTTGTCTAATTGTTTTTAAGGAATTTTTCTGAAAATATTCTAGTAACTGTTGAATTATTCTATTATTTTTGTTATGTTCAAATTTTACACTTTCTGCTTGACTAATCAAAAGGTCAATAATACTATTTTCTAAGGGATTACTACTACTATGTAAAAGATGTTTGTGTTCTTTTTGTGGAAAATAACAAACTAATGTATTATTATCTAGAGTTAATTTTTTCTTTTGTTGTTCACTAATTTCTAAATTGAGATATTCTATCATAAATTTATCTAAGTCTACCTTTTTCTTTTAAGATGCCTAAATGCTCCTGAAAAGCTTCTATTGATTCTTTACAGACTTCTAAATGGTATTGGTTTCTTGTTATGCTGTTCTGGACTTCTAACTTTCTTCTATGATAATTATCTACTTCTGGTGATCTTATTAATTCTTCTAAATTCCTAATTTCTTTTTGGTATTCTACTTTCCGTTTCTTTAATTCCTGCAACCTTTCTTTAATTCTAATAGATGTCCACCAAGGGCCAAACATGCAAACAGTTTACTGTTTTTAACTAGTGATTCTGGTAACAAAATTTTAACAGGTTATAAAACGTTGGTTTTTATCAGTTGTGTTGACTGACTTCTGTCCTCAAGGTACTTTACTGGTATAACTATATTATTAAGGTGCTAAACTAAAGCTCTGATACCATTCTCGAACAAGGGCTCGGTCAAGGTTTTCTAAAAGCCAAAATAACAACCAGACACCATGCCTATAACATGGAACTAGAACATGGAACTGCAAAGACGCCAACTTAAGGGCTATGGAGCAGAACTCAGAGGTCCTCTGAACTCAGAGGTTCCCTGACAGACATCCAATTATTGTTATGGCAAATATCAAACATGACCAAGTGCTCAAACACAGTATTGATCGTCAGTTTAGCAAGATAATAACATAATTATAAAAGTGTTTCCCTATTTTGGACAAGAAGTCTACTAAGAAAACCAAAAATAAAAGAGAAAAATGACTTACTTAATTGCTTATGTTACTGGAACTACTGTTATTACCGGGTAAAAACAGTAGTCGGAGATATTGACAGTGATAGACGGTATTAACAGTGGTCGGAGTATGTAAGTACAATAAATGAAAAAGAGAAAGTATATGAACAAATGGAGTTTTATTGATTGAAGGAGGAAGTATTGAGATTTTTTCTTCTCTGGTGTTTCGTACTTCTTTCTTCGGAGTTACAAACTATATACACCAATTACACCGACCTCTACCATGGCTAAGGATGAGAAGAAGTGTTCTTCTTTATCTAAAACTCTCTATCTGATACTATCTTTCTGAAGTTTCATATGAATTTCACATGCATACTGATGGCAAACAAAAGATTCCTCTTTATACATGCACTCTGAAATATGTATGAAGAAACAAAACACTATATCTGGTACTGTCGTTGCGCAATAAGAACAGTCTGGACAGATGCAAAGTGACAAAGGCTTCACATGGTCTGATTGTTTGAAGACAAAATATTCACATGCTGATGGCGGAGGAAAGAGTTCTAGGACTTGCATGTCTCTAAAGCTAAAAATAATAGGCCTTTTTGCCATTTTGAAAAGTATTTGGGTGTTTTTGAGAGATGCTTGTTTCTTTTGGGTTTTTTCCTAAATTTCGCAAATTCCTATTGATTACACTTTCAAATTTTGGGAGTAAAAAAAGGAAAAATATAGCATGAGTTTGATAACCATTTCAATTTTAGTTTTTAGTTTTTAGTTTTCATTTTTTATTTTTTATGCTAGAGTATAGAAGGAAAAGATAAAAAATGGAAGTGAGAATGAGAGTGAAGATGAGATTGAGAGGGAATAATGGGAGGGAGGAGTAACAAAAATGAAAACAAAATCTAAAAACAAAATTTTATTTGAAATTGTTTTCACTTTCAAGTTTTTATGTTTCACTTTTGTTACTCCTCCTTCCCATTCTCCATTCTCAAACTCTTCATCACTCTCATTTTCCTCTATACTCTAGTGAAAAAAACACAAATGAAAACTAAAAACTAAAATTGAAATGGTTATCAAACGGGCCCTTAGTTATCCATTTTCAGTTTTCATTTGTTAAAAACTAAGAACAATAAACTTGTTTGGTAACTGTTTTCAGTTTTCAAATAAAAAATAACATGAAAGATGTTTGAAACTTGTTTGCTAATTGTTTTAAGTTTTTGTTATTTTTTTTACCATGTGCCTGAGTCTAATAGTCATTGCGGAGTGGTCGAGGGGCAATAGGTGGGTCCACTTGCTCAAGGTTTGAGCCTCATATCATAATTTGAAATCTAACTTAGTTGAGTAATAATAAAACTTTGAAGTAACACCTATTTATGTGACACTGAAACAACGAAATGAAATTTCATTAGGTCAACTGAACTTGATGTTATAAAATGAAAGTACATGGTACAAAGAGTTTGTAACATTTTTCAAAGTCACAATGGAATTTTGGTGTTTTGGATCTGGAGGTCCTTAGGCCATCTCCAGTCATGGGCTAAACAAAATTTTGGCCAAATTTGGCCCTTTAACCCTCCAACCAGGCCAAATGTAGATTGATCAAGCCACATTAAAGCATTTTTTGGCAGTGTTTGGTCCTCGGGGTAATAACCCTCCAACCAGGGCAATGTAGCTCAACCAGGCCAAATGTACATTTTTTGTGGACCCCATGCATTTGCTTTTCAACAACCAACATTAAAGCATATATATTTTTAAAAGCCTTTTTAAATGTTTTAGTTGGTGTTGTTTAAGAAAAAAGTATAAAAAATTATTGGTCATGACCGTTGGAGGTCAGACCATTGAAACCCATCCTCTTTTTTATTTTTTATTTTTTTTTATTTTTTTATTTTTTATAAATGTGGTCACCTTTTTAAATGTTTTCAAGTGTTGTTTAAAAAAAATTATAAAAAATTCTTGATCATGACCGTTGGAGATCAGACTATTGAAACGTTTTTATTATTTTTATTTTTAAATGTGGTCACATATATGGAATATTGTCTCTAAATAGTAGTTTAATTAATATTTTGGAGGGCTAAATTTTTTGCCTTTGACTACATTTAGCCCTATAACTAGAGATGGCCTTAGGTGAGTTTGAGGGTCCCAAGGCTCCGGTTAGGTCTGTGGCCAAATGCAAGAGTCGAGTGACCATGTCCAAGTTTAAAGGTTCCATATAACGAGATTTGAGACTAGAGTGTGATACATGTATAATGATGTAGAATTGGTTAGTGAGAAAGAGTGACAAAAAATGAATTTTTTTTTAATTTTTTTATTATAAAAAAATTACCTTCACTATGAAAGAAAAAAAAAGAAGGAAAATGATTACTAAACATGTTTTTAGTTTTCAATTTTCAAAGTGAAAATTGAAATTGAAAACTAAAAAAGAAATGATGGTGAAACTAGTTTATAATAACTTATTAATAAAATTGAAAGAGTGAAATTGACATGTGAGTTCAATAAATTAGTGGGTGCAAACAAATGCCAACGAGGCTAGTTGAGTGGAAAATAACTATGATTTATAGATCAGTGATTTCATGTGTCGAACTTTGACTTGTAGTTGTAAAAAGCCCACCTTCCTCAATATCATTTGTATATATATATTAAAAAAAAACAAATGCTCTTTCTTTTAAGGGTTACCTAATAGGTTATTTTTGAATTCCAACTGATAAAAAAAATCCAACAAAAGGAATATTTTCTAATTGAAATAAAAAGACTAATTAGTAATTCATAGAAAAACAAACCTCATAAAAAACGCTTCAAAAAAGAAAAAAAAAACTTAAAAGAAAAAAAAGAGAGTAGCAAAAAGAAAAGAAAATTAGCCACTCTAAAAGGACGAAAATGTCCTCGATGCTCGTATATTATTGCCCTAGGGTTTTGAGAGCCAGCCTCTTTTAAACGAAGGAGGGCTTGAGAGTTTACTTTAGCCGAAGCGCAGCGGAGAGAGCTCGTTCGCGGTCTCAAGTCACCGAATCTCTCTCTCCAGTCGGGAACCATGGGTACCTCTCAGACCCTCCCACTCGCTGTCTCTTTGTGTGTTTTTCGTGCAATGGCTGATGGTTTTTTTCTGTGATAATTTGTAGGTATCTCACGTGACTCGATGCACAAAAGACGTGCCACTGGAGGCAAGAAGAAGGCATGGAGGAAGAAGAGAAAGTAAATGCTCTTCCACTTTCAATCCCATTTTCTCCTTCCTAATCTCTTTGGTTTCTTTTTGGTTTTTTTTGTTTTTTTTTTTTTTTTTTTTTTTGTATTATACTTTTCTTGGTATTTTTAATAGTTTGCGGTGTTTTTGTCCTGTTTCAATTCTTGTTTCGATTAGGCTACAGATCTGTTAGTAACCGGAAATTATTACTGGGTTTTTGATTTGGTCTTCGTTTCTTATATCGGTCTTGATCTCTGGTTTATTGGTGATTACTACACTACTTATTGATTTCTTTGCTGAAATCATGACTAGTTTTTGTCTTGTAGAATGTATTCTGTATCTATGTTATGCTGTTCGTTTGTTTTGATGTGGTTAGAGATAATGCTAGTGAATGAAACGGATGTTTTCAGCCATTGTTAGTACTTTTACTCTGGCCCAAAACTAAGCCTTCTTAAACTGGTATTCTTTTTTATTTGTTATTCTGTTTTCTATGCAATGATATGCGTATTGTTGATTTTAGTTTTTGTTCATCCATTTTGACCTTTGTTTTTTTGTTAGGTTTGATCTTTGTAGTTGGCTCCATCCAGTTTACCTTATCTAGGTTTACAACTGTTGTAGATAAAACAATGTTCATTTTGTTATGGTTTGTTTCGTTGCTGTTAATGAATTTGGGAGTTTGTTAGTCCCCTTAACGTGCTTTCCCATTGATATTCTTGGGCCAGCATTTCAGGCAGTGATATAAAAAACAATGTGATATGACCCTGAGATTATAAACTCGGTTTCTGTCCTTGGGTTGACAGTTCAGTTGCATGTCCATCAACCTTATAAGAGTCTCTCTAATGTTTGAGTAGTTGCCTAAAATAACTTAAATAATCAGTTTGGATTTTGAATCTCTTTGGGAGGAATACTCACGTTACCTATTCTGAGAGAACTCAAGCTACGTGACATTGCCTAGAATGGGAAATTCAGAGTAATTGCCATTTGGTTCTGTACTCAAATATTTAATCATCTAGAGACATACAAACCCTAATTAACATCAATTATTTATGCTTCATGGATTTCTAAGAACTAAGATTGTTGATTTTGCCTGAATGTTTGAGGATTTAAGTTGAAATTTGCATGGTGCACCAATTGTGGATTATGTTTTTTTGTCATTGTTTTCAATCTTTTTGATTTATCCAGGTATGAGCTCGGTCGTCAGCCTGCAAATACTAAGCTTTCAAGCAACAAGACTGTTAGGCGAATCCGTGTGCGGGGAGGCAATGTGAAGTGGAGAGCTCTCAGGTTGGATACTGGTAACTTCTCATGGGGTAGTGAAGCTGTTACTCGTAAAACCCGTCTCCTGGATGTTGTATACAATGCCTCAAACAATGAACTTGTTAGAACGCAAACTCTGGTGAAAAGTGCCATTGTCCAGGTGGATGCAGCTCCATTTAAGCAATGGTACCTTCAACATTACGGAGTTGAAATTGGCAGAAAGAAGAAGACTGCTGCTGCTAAGAAGGATACCCCAGAGGTAATTGTTTTGTGAATACCTTTATTTGCCATATTTTTCTTTGTATGATTTTATTAAGGATTTTCGTGTATCGAATTCAGTTTACCTCTTGTAAATTTTGGGTTATTGGTAAGGATAAACTTTAGCCCTTGCTCTTTCCTAGTTATCATCATTGTCATTTTAGAACAACCTGGTTTGAAAAACAAGGGCCACTCCTTTCCTATTGCATTTTGACTTCTACCTGCACATGGTTCTTGAATTGTGTTGTGGGAGCAGTGAGAAGTCTTAATGATGTCAAATCTTACAGTCCAATTTGTTGGTGGTAAAATTGAATGCATATTGATTTTTGCTCTACCCTAGTTTCTCACCAAACTCATTTGTGCCTGTCCATGGTTTTCGCAGAAGCATAGTTTGTATCTTATGTGTTTTTGCTTATAGGAATGCATGTTGTAGGCTAATTACTAACAACTTTCATCTCATATATGTATAAGCAGGAGGGAGAAGCAACTACAGAGGAAGCAAAGAAGAGTAACCATGTTGCGAGAAAGCTTGAGAAGCGTCAGCAAGGTCGCACCCTGGACGCCCATATTGAAGAGCAGTTTGGGGGTGGGAGATTGCTTGCTTGCATATCTTCCCGTCCAGGCCAATGTGGCAGAGCTGATGGGTGAGTCTAATACCTCATGTTAATATTTTCAATTTTACTTTTTCTTGCATCATCTTATTTTGTATCTTTCATATTTTATCAGGTACATCTTGGAAGGTAAGGAACTGGAGTTTTACATGAAGAAGCTCCAGAGGAAGAAGGGAAAGGGTGCCGGTGCTGCTGCATAAACACTTCATTGACCGGACTTTTGTCCCTTTTGGTTTCGCATGAGATTTGTTTTAGTTTGAACCTTTTCATTTGTCTAGGGGCATACATGTTGGTTGCCTGTGCTAATGCAAGTCTTTCAAGTTTTCTAGGCATCTCTGGTATTCCAGATTTAGAAGATTTTGACAATTTTGCTGACCGAGCTGGGTCTTTTATTGTTATTTGATATTTTTATTGTGCTAGTCAAAGTAATTTACTGGATGAGTCAATGTAGAGTTTGGTGGATTTGGTTACATTTCAATCCAGAGTTTTATGAACTCTATATATCTTGCGGCAATCAATTGGCGTTTTGAAGCATTGAAATCTTGTTCATCAACAATGGTGATTGATTTGCTGGGATTCAGTTAACTGGATTTGAGATGCTAGAGTGCAGCCTGCAAAAATTTAACCTGTAGCTACAGATTGGAACCTCTTTTACAGGTTACAAAATTTTATCTGTAGGTTTCGAAATATCTTTCCACGCCAATTCATTTTCATGGACTTGCTGACCTTCATGAACTTTCAGTCTTCAAACGGTCCAAGCTTGTCTTCATCTTGATGAATGTTTCTTCTTTAATTTACTATGCACCTTCACACACTTATCCAAGTTGCCTGAAGAACTTGCCTTAGTTTATATAGGTCTATAATTTCCTTGCCTAATGGATTAAGTTTGATGTATGAGAAGTTGCGGCATATGTGCATGAAGTATGATGCAGGGCATGAAAAAACTTGGGGATTTTAAGGTTAGTGGGGTTGCAGAAAACTCATGTAAAAGAGAATTCTATTCACTTCCTATCTCCTAAAACAAACTACGCAATTCGTTACTCGAAATGCCCATTTTACCTCCCATTAAAAATAAAATAAAGTAACAAATAAAATTGAAGAAGAAAAACACCCAACCCCATCCCAATGTTGAGATTTTTTGTTTTTGGGAGGTGGGGGCGGTAGCTTCAGCAAGAGGGAAAAACTGAGAGTTTAGAGAGAGTGAGGGTGGTTTGAGTAAGATCGGGGTGTCTAGAGAATTCCACAACTAAAATTGTGGGCTGGTACAAAATGGGCCCAAACAATATTTTCACGAAACCCAGCTGTGAACTTTTGTTTTCTTTTTCGATTGCTTCTATACAAATACAATGTGTGTGTGAGAGAAAGAGAGAGAGAGAGAAAGCAAATGCAAATGAGTGGGCGAAACGTAAATGTAAACTCAGTTTTCTACGCGGAGGCGTATCATCCGGTTCAAGCGGGAAGCATAGACGGCACAGACATTCTCCCTCACGACAACGCTGTCTACAGAGCCTTCCTTTGCTCCTCCGCTGGCCTCTGTATGTAAACTTACTCTCTTTCCTTCCCACCTCTACTTCTTATTTCTACTTTCCTCCCCAGAACTCTTTTCCCCTTTTGCAGATGACCCCTTGGGCGATCCCAAGCTCATCGGCGATCCTTATTGCACCCTCTTCGTCGGTCACCTCTCTCACCTCACCACCGAACAATCTCTTCGCAAGGTCATTTCCATCCCTCTCCCTCTCTCTGTGTTTGGTTTCCCAGACAGTTAAGCATACAAAGAGAAAGAAAGTTCTTCAATTGTCGTCGTTAGAGTTAGAAACCCAATGCTGTGCAAATCTTTTGGTCTGAAAATGAATTTTCTATTTGGGTTTTCAGGCTTTGAGCAAGTATGGTCGAGTGAAGGACTTGCGCTTGGTCAGGCACATTGGTAAGCTTAGCTTCTTAATTTGCTTTGAAAAATTTAGAAGGCTTAACTTAATTTCTAATCTTACATAAATTATTCTACTTGTAGAAAAAAAAACTTAAAATGTTTAGCCGTGTGCATATGGTTTGCAAAAAAATTGTTCTTTTTGACAGTGTAATACTATGAGGGTTCACCTTTATAACTTTCTTGTTACTTTTCTTGCAGTAACTGGTGCCTCACGCGGCTATGCGTTTGTTGAATATGAAACCGAAAGGGAGATGCAGCGTGCATATAAGGTGCGGCTGCAACTTGTTAGCCACTCTTAATATGATATGGAATTTGTTCATATATGTGTCCATCTTTATGTGTTGGGGAATTCTACTTTGACACTGTAGTAATGATCATGAATTTGTTCTCATGTACATGTCCTTCACTCACAAATTTAAATTATTTTGCCTGTGCTTGCTACTGTTGTGAGGAAAGAAATGTGCATATCACTTTTCTGTGGTTGGATGATCACATTTGTATTGTTCATAATGGTAAGAGTAATGTGTAATGTATATATGGTGGAAGGTGAGGCAATTCAGAAGTTTGAGGAAAATAAAAATAGGGGAAAATGTGAAAGTTGCTATTGAACATTAATTTCACCAACTTGTTAGCTTGGTTAGCTAATAAAATATTTTTGAAGTTATATCCACGTGCCTTGTCGTCACATCTCACTCATAGCTGCCCGATTTCTAAACACAGCTATTAGGTAACATGTGTTTACCTAATGCAACAGTATTGGTGGCGCCTTGCTTCTTTGAATGAATTAGATATCACTTTCTAAAATGGTCTTTATACTTAAGTGTGAAGTGAAACTTCGGGAAGGTTTAACAGAAAACAGGTCTTGATAGGCAAACTAATAGGGCAAATTAGATTCAAGTCTTATGAGTAACCACATATGTTTATTGTGGGGATGTTAATGTTTATGAAAGTATGATCAGCATATATCATAACATGTCTATGGTGAGTCTAAGTTAGTTGCTTTTTTGCAGGAAGCCCACCATTCCTTTATTGATGATTCTGAAGTTATAGTTGATTACAACAGACAGCAGTTGATGCCAGGTTGGATTCCAAGAAGATTAGGTCAGTTAAATATTCCCATTCTTCTTACAAGTTTACCCTACATAGATCAAATTCATGTTATTTTTGTTGTTTTCACCAGGAGGGGGTCTTGGTGGTAAGAAGGAATCTGGACAACTTCGTTTCGGAGGACGTGAAAGACCATTTCGAGCTCCCCTGTATGCATTACTTCCTTATTAGATGTAACATATTCTATAAACATGTAGTGAATTAGTTGTTACACTCATTGCTCTATCTCATTTTGCGAGATATTTCATGCTCCTTAAGTTAGAAGAGGTGGACCAAAAAAAAAGAAGTTAGAAGAGGAGGACAGAAGAGTTTCAGACTTACTGTTGTACTAAAATGGTTTTAGGAACTTACTCCTTTTGTATGATTTATGCTTTGTTTGGAGTGTAGGCTAGTGCCTTAAAAATCCTATTTAAATATTTAATGGGCAAGAAACATGATGGGAAGGACTACTAGTTCTTGGGAAGAGGAAGAACTAAGTGAAAAGATTCTCAGTTTGCATTCTACCCTGTATCCGTGGCAAGCCACTGGAGCATTAATTATTAACTCCCTTAGCAAGCAAGGTTGGTTAAAGTGTAACCAGGGGCTAGAAGTTCAGCTTAGGCAGAGATAATCTAGGGTTCTGAGGCCATACGTGTAAATTTTTAATCTTTTATAGTTTTGTTATGGAAAGTAGCATTGTGCTTTTGTTTGCGGTGTTAATGACTCTAAACCTTTTATTTTTCTGGGTAACCAGGCGTTCAATCCCATATGATGATTTAGAGAGACTTGGGATCCCACCTCCTCCAGAAGGAAGATACATGTCACGCTATCAGGTATTTTTCTTTTGGCCCTGTTAGCCATGTATGGTTCGTCATAAATTAGGTGCATACTAACCTGCATTTGCTACAATCTCAGCTCAACTAAACATTTGATATTTAGATACAAATTAATTAACTTTTGAAATAACGTATATACATACATATATTTATAGTTTCTACACTAGTGGAGTACATGTATGGTTCCTTCATGAATGTATATTCTTCTTCCCAATTTCTGCAGCATATAGTAGCAACTGCTCAAAGCAGTCTAGATAATTTAGTTTTGGAGCATTACCAGATCTCTACTCCGAAACTTCTGTCACAGTCTTTGTTTCTTATCTATGTTTGTAGGTCCCATCCCCACCCAGAAGGAAAAGGAGCTCTGTGGATAGGGAGGAAGGTATTCATAAAAGGTCCATGGAGAGGGGAGCGAACATGCGCAAAAGCAGTCCTGTGGAGAAGGAAGAAAGGTCTCACAAAAGACCTATGGACCCAGAGGACCATTCATTCAAAAGGAGCTCTGTTGAGACAGAACACCATCGCAACAGGAGCACTGTTGACAGAGCAGAGCGCTCTCACAAGAGGACCTCGAGGGATAGGGATGATCGTTCTCACAAGCGGCACAAGTCCCATCGCCATGAGAGATCCACTAGCCATGATCACTATTAAGATTTGCAATTGGGAAAGGCACCAAGGAGTTATAGAAAGACCCACTAAGGAGAGGAGTCACTACTAGTGATAAATATCAGTATGCAAACAGCAAGGTGCTTGCTTAAGACCCTGCTGGAACACAAAAGAACTAGTGATCAAGCACAATTTGGCCAGGAGCTAGTGGTGATCCGGATTCAAGTCAAAACATAGGCATGACTTAAATGTCTTAACTGTTAAGCATAACAGTCCAAAATAGTTTACAATCCTGCAAAGTTAACCAACCCATTTCTCATCCTGTTTACTCATATGTGAAAGCTAGCACCAAGGCTACAGGATTTAGGTTAGAGCAGGATTGTGGCTTTGTTGGTGACGCAGATGGCTGCTGTGGAATTGACTATACGAATATTTTGAACTTGTTTTACTTAGCGAAGTCGGGAAACATCATTTGAGTTATGCTTCCAGCTCAATAAAGTTCTCTTATTCAATGTTCCCAAGGGTATAAAAAGCATGAAAGTTTCTCGTCTTTATGCAACTTTGGTGAAACCAAAGCCATCCTAAGTTTACAGGAAAGAAGAAGTCAGCAAATCTTACCTCTATTATCTGTGTAGTATATTTATAGTGAAGCTAATATATTTCGCCTGATAGTATGATATTTTTGGACTGATGGTTTGCCAACCGTTATGTTGAACGGCTTTTTTGGATCTTTTGGTGGTGTAGAAGTGCCAATGGTGAGGGCAATGAACTCGCCCCTTTGCACTCAAGTTCGAATCCCTCTCTGTAAATTAGAGTAATTTAGGGTTTGTTTGAAAGTGACTTATTATGGCTGTAGAAAGCAAAACACCTCTCAATAGTTTTGGTTTAACTCGAAAGTGTCTTGTTAGATGGAGAAAAGTGTCAGTTTTGTGTACACTTCATTTTTCCACACAAAAGTTAAATAAATTGTGTACTAGGGTGTGATGGGTAGCTTCATATGTTCACTTCATCTTAGCATTCAAATACCAATTGAGTGTACCAATTGTAGGAATCTGTATATGTGAATTTTCTACAATTGAGTGTAATAGCTAAGGGAAAAAAAATAACGTTGTAGCCATGCATATGCATTAGATATTGGATCAACGATTTGTACTAGCCAGTCTCATGCATTAGATATTACATTCATGTGCTTGTATTGTATTAGTCTCTCAACATGCGCGTGACGTCAGCACATGCCAATAAGTTTTTCTTTTTTTTTATAGAAAACTATTGTTAAATATGAAAGCTCATTTTCTTTCTTAATTTTTTTATATATTAAAATAAACTATTATTTTACATATTTGTCCCTTTAAAATGTGATTGTTATGTTTGAAAAAAATTTTAAAAATATAACAAAAATGACATTTTGCTTTATAGTGCCTTTATATATATAGGTTTAACTCAAGGAAATCTTTTGTAATTAACATATGATAAATGAACTATTTTAGTTTTGGGCTAGCTCAATTAGGTTTATACTTTTGTTGGTTATACGTGAATGAGAAAGCCCATGGTAGAGATGACAATTTTTTTCATGGGGAAGGATTTTCGTGGGGATTTTCGGGAGCATTTTTGCTCTCTACTTTAATCCAAGATGTACCCTCATCACCATTCCTAAAAGTATGTGCATGAGTTTAACTATAGTTAATTCTTTATTTGTTTGATGACATTATTATGAGAGCGAAAGAATTTTTCTTGATTTACCCTTATTCTAACTTAACAAACTATGCACTTTTCTAAATTAATTACCCATCTAGCGAACAACAACCCAAATAAATAATTGGCAACAGCAGGACGACCATTACTCAAAAAATTACCAAGAGGTTAGATGTTTATGATTCAAAATAATTTAATTACCCATAAAGAGAACAACAACCCAAAATAATTGGCAACAGCAGGACGATCATTACTCAAAAAATTACTAAGAGGTCAGATGTTCATGATTCAAAATAATTTAATTACCTTATAGTGTTTGTCATGCATTGTCTATAATATTTTTATACACTACGTTACAACAAATCCTAGAGTCATTCCCATTCAATTTCGATCAATACAAATTCAATCCTGAAGAGTTAACATTGCTCATACCTAATCGAGATATGGAAACCTACAAAAAGCACAAACATTTATATTGGGCATGTGTAGATCGGGCTATGGAAACCTATGCACTTCATTCGACGTCAGTTCTTATGATATGTACGGAACTTCTTATGAATGATTGTTTTGAAAAACACAAACGTAGGAATAGTATTCATTGAACAATATGAAATCTATGATGGCATGGCATGTTATGTATTACTGTATTTGGTATGAACAATTATTCACACTTCATTTAGACAAATTGAAAACAACAATATACTCATTTGTATTTGTATGCATTATATTTGGTAAGATTCCCTCACTACATGTTTTCAAGAGATGGATAGCATCGAACCCTTTTGTATATGTTAAACAAATCCTAACCAAATCTTGCCTAATTGCAACTTGCAAAGGCTTGTAACTCAAATAGTTAAAAGCAATGCATTCTATACACCCGAATATCTCTTTTGCAATTAAACGAAGGCTTATTGCTCAAGTAGTTAAGAACAATGCCCTATATACGCCCGAATATCTCTTGTAAAAAAAGGTCACTCCTTTTTTTCTTTCTTGAATGGGTTGAAGGAATGTGGGATAAAAGCTGTCAAACCATAGCTAATTATAGTTCCCACTTTACTTCTGTGTGGTTTGATTGGTTTGCAGCTTTCTGCTTGCTTTTCCAACTAATTTAGGCATGCTTAAGTTCAACAAGACCAGTCCGAAAGCAATTATCGTTGCTTTATTCGTTCAACATTATATCTACATGCTGCCATTAACTATAACACAAACGCGAAAATTGAACAAACAACTGTCTTACATGCGATCATTTTACGTTATTAAATAAAAGTATGCGTTCGTTGTACAAGAAATCTGAGGTTTGCATTATTAATTTTCAAAAAGCCACAACCTCAAGTTTGTCTCAATTACATGATAGAAAAGAGGGGGAAGGATTATGTTTATGCCTTGCTGTCAATGGTCATTGGCACCGGGTCCTGTTTGGCTCCTCCACTCTGCAAGTCCATATAAAATAAACCACACAAACGAACACAAAACATCAGTAATGGAAAGTGGCACTTCAACTCCAGAAGCGAATTAATTCAACACGAAATCAACTTACAGCTGATTTCACTTGTTCAAATTTGTTCATTTTCGCGAATATAGCGCCGTAAAACTGCGCATCCTTCTTGTTGTACTCTCTCACTTTCTCCTTCAAAACCTTGTATTCCTGTTTCACATCCCTGAATACAAAGACAAATCCCACATTAACATCAGCAGTACGGACATTGGAGTCTCGTCCGATAAACGAACATCATAATAAGAGGCAGCATGAGAAAAACTCCATTTAGCATCAATTGACAGTGAAACAGACCTGTTGTCTGGGTCTATCTCAAGGGCCTTTTTGATATCCAGCTCTGCTAAGTCTAAATCGACAAGTTGGATATATGCTTGTGCCCTTCTATACAAGGCCTTCACATTCCGACTGTCAAGTTCCAAAACCTGCATATCAGAACTCTCACACATTAGAACAGAAAGTACACCAACCAGCCATGCACGTCACATGAGATGTGGGATATCAGCAAGGCACACCTTTGTACAGAGCTTCTCGGCCTGCTTGTATTCTTTAAGTTTAAGCTTGCATGCCGCATCATTCAGATTGCAAGTGATTTTCAGCATCTTTGATTGCTGCTTCTCCTCATCACTGAAAGCAGAGTCATATTCAATAAACTTCACAGCCTGACACCAAAATAGAAGGTTTTTGTGAGATGTTGTACATGTCAAAGTAAAAGTTCGTAACATCTAAACCAGAGCACAAGTCCACTAAGTATACCTTTTCATATCTCTTTGAGGCCCTTTCGTATTTACCAGCCTTAAATAACACATTGCCTTCTTCCTTCTTCTTCCCAGCCGCTTCTATCTTCTCCTGGGTGTTCAAGTCCCAAGATTCTTTCTCCTGCGGCCAGTAACGTAAGTTGAGTCCAACTTTTTCACAAGCAGGAAATTCCAATTGTCACGAGGGAAACATATCATACTCACTTTGACAAAGGAAAGCAGCTCCACTTCATAATACACAGTTGAATTTGCTGGAACAACAGCCAAATCTTGTGCAGATTCAGATGACCCAAAAGCATATTCTGGTTGAATGGTCACCAGAGCAACTTCCCCTTTCTTCATGTTCTTCACAGCTCTATCAAGTCCATCAATCACTTGTTCTGCGCAACAACTCCACTCTTAAGTATCCATACTTGAATCATAACTAGAACCAGTATAAGTGCACAGAGTGGTCAACAAGTTATAATTCTGTTAGTTTACCTTCATCTATCCTGAATTCAAATGGTTCATCATCATGGCCCTTCTTTGTGAAGATTGTGCCGTCATGCAACTTCCCAACAAGTTTAACTGGCAGACACAACAACACACAAACTTTTGAGTTTTCACAAAATTAAGGAATATAACATTATAGCCTAAATTTTACTGTAGTACTCATATTACCTTGAACTACTGACCCGTCATTTGGGCGCTCATACCCCTCCCCTTCCTTTAAGGTCTTTTTCAGGACTTTCTTGTCCTTGGTAACATCAGAAACTGTTTTCCAGGAGACCAACTCAAGTGTAATCTCAAGGGATGCATTGGGAGGTACTGCAACTTCATCTCCCACAGCCGGTCTGCCCACCTCACCAAATCCATCTATAAAAATTATAGCCGTTAAATTCCATGTCTCGTGAAAACAGTCAAATAGTGTAACAAAACGAACCATTAGCATATAAGCACATAGCCAAAGTACTCACATTGTGGCTTTACATTCAAAAGGACCTTTTCACCTTTCTTCATTGTTTTCACAGCTTTTGCTAAGGCAGGACAGAAAAAGCCTGCAGAAGAGAGAAACCACATTCAGATTACTCGAAAATAAGTCATGTAAGGCAACTAAACATATTACTACGAGTAAAAGGCAATGAAACAAACCATCTTGGACAGTAAACTCCACCCCGTCAGATTTTGAAA